TGGCTACGACAGGAAAAGAGGTGGGGGACAGGAGGGGGATCGATAGGGAGTAGAGCTGAAGAGCAGAGCATGGCAGAGGAGACAAATGGGTGACGTGGGTCATATAAAAGATGGAAGAGAAGAAAACTGTAATCCATTTAGCTAGATGAGGAAGGAGAGATCAATAGATATGAACTGCAAAGCAACAGGGACCAACTGAGGACAACCATGTAACTGACCCCACCTAGAGACGCTGCTCAGATTAATGTTCCCACCACTTGATGCAACTCTTCCCAAAGCCAGAACGACTCCCTCCCAAGCCAAGTTCTGCTGGCAGCCACCAGCTTCTCTCTCCATCAGAGGTGCACACCTCAGGACCCATCTCAGCTTCCCCAGCCCCATTTCTCCCCTGGCTCCACAGCAGCAGGAGGGTTCCATCATCTCAGCCCCAACACTCTCCCCCTTCATCCCAAAGCCACAATCCCAAGAGCCTCATGACACACTGAGAAAGGCAAAAAAAAAGCAAAACCCAGCCCGTCCCTGCTCCCAACTTACATTTAAAGGCTTTAGGTGAGGTTTCGCTAGTCTGAATCTTTGGGGCAAGCATGCGTTTGCCAAAAACCTGAGCATCAAAACTTGCATAATCGAAGGTGACCTTGGAGTACTTCTCCAGCTCCTTGGCCAGGTTGGCCCGGGGGGTTGCTGGGACCATGTTGGGCCGGTAGCTTCCGTACTGAGGGATCTCCAGTTGCTTCACAAAGCACATAGGCCTGAGGATGAAACAACGAGCAGCAATGATTTCTCTTTTCCTCAGCGAGGTGGGTGTTGGGAGGGGACCACACATGATGGGGACATGGAGAGGAGGCAGTCAGGCAGTTGTGCTCTCCCTCAGCATCTGGTTTCGGTCTCTTAGATTGCTTTTTTGCTTTTCCCCATTTTTTTCCCCTCATTTTCTTCTTTTAGGCAGAATGTCAAGGTACTGATCTCACTCAAAACAATACCCTGGTAGGCTGCTGTGGAGCAGCAGCATCTTCCGACAGCACTAGAAACTTGGGCATCCCTCACTTCTGGGCCCCATGACACAAGATGGCACACGAAGGCCAACTGAGGACCCCAGTTAAGCTCCGTTCCCCACCACAAGTTCATTAAAAAGGCACCAAGGCCTCTCCCCTGCCTGCAGAGTTCCTCGTACAGACCCGCTGCTGCCGGGCTGCCTATCATGAATCAATTTGTCTTGCATATAAATTGTATATAAATGGCCTATTGTTATTCTCCTTCCCATGACCTCTTCCCACCAGCGAGTCCTCGGAGCGGGAGCTCCTTGGAGCACAGACCATCCTCACGATGCTCTCGGAGGGCTGCGTGCCCTGCTGCAAAATAAATAAGTAATCACCCTAAATGGCCTTTCCAGAGCACGGAGCGCCGCGGTACCGGGGTGCTCAGCAGTCCTGGGGATCAAAGAAATAAATTCATCAGACCTTGGTGCCTCGCTGGGAGTGCTGCTCAGGGCTGGCAGCAGGGGTTTTATCCTGCTCTGGTTGCAAGAGAACAAACTGTACCACAACCCATCTGTAGGCTGGTGAATCACATCGGCTACGGGAGCCAGCATCTCTCAGGGACATCCTTAATGCGAGACGGCCCTTTCTCCAGGGAGGATGGAGATGGGAGAGGTCACAAAATAAACACCACTGGTTTGGGAACGAGTGGCAGGTTTCTCAGGTTTTTCTCCTTGGAACGGTGTGGGCTAAGGAAGAGAAGTGGGGGGACTTCCATGGAGCTGCCACCGAGTGATTTATATGTCACCTAAATGGCTCCTCCCTCCCTCCCCGAGCCCACCCTGCTTATAATGCTAATATAATAGCCCTCATTCCCTGGCAGTTTGCATCGCAGAGCAGTCGGCACAAATGCCTTCTGCTGCACTGCTGAAACCCTTTGGCCTGCAGCCTCGGCGTTAATTGACGCTCCAGAAGCAATTCATTGGCCTCAATGCCCTCCCTGGGATCATCAATTAAATATCTCCCCACCTTGGCGAGACCTGGGATGGCAATAAGGGGACTCTGCAGGCACAGGGAGCAGAGCAATGGGGAGGGCTGGGGCTGCTTCCCCGGCCCCTTTACCTGAGGATCCGGTCAGAATTGGAGCTGGTCTTCGAGGGGTCACCAGACTGGGTTTGTTGCTTTTCGTGTGATTTGGCTAATTTTTCAGCAGCAGCAATGGGGCACCCAGATAAACTGTGTAAAGTATTTTTTTTAAAAAAAAAAAGAAGAAAGAAAAAAAAAAAAAAACAGAGAGAAGGAAACCAAGCATGAGAGATAAGCATGAAAATCTTCAATACGGGGACCCAGAGCTGTGCTGAGCCCACGTGTTTGCTTTTAAAAGTGTTTTTAGTTTTGTTTTTGTTTTTTTATCATCATTATCCTGGCTTACTTTTAGTCTTAGCGAGCAGCAAAGCAGCCAAACATCAAGTACCAAATCTCTCCAGGATGAACCCCAGAGCATCCCCAGAGCTCAGAGGTGGATCAAGGCAGCGGTTCCCCCAGGCTGAGCACAGCAGGGGCAGAAGGGGACAGGCCGGTTTCTTGGAGTGAGTTTAGTGCTTAAATGCCATTTTTTATTTATATTTATTTGGATCTTCTGCAGGGGCTGTTTGAAGGGAGGCTTCTGAGGGGCGTTTGCAGGGAAACATTTGCATGTCTGATGTGCACGGCTGCCCGAGGGAGATCAGGGGCTGTGATGGCTTTTGGTCACCTGGGCCCTAATGTGTCAGCCTGGCTCTGCCTCTTTTGGACAGCTTGGCTATTCCTGAGATTGCTCAGGGAAGGTAAAACCCCTCCCAAGCACCCCTGTCCTCTTCCTGACCACATCTGGGCTGAGGTCCTACAGCAAGAGCACTTAAATTCTCAGCTCATCAATCACTTCGGTCTAAATATTGTGGCAATTCCTAAAAATCTTGCACAGTGCCACACCACCAAACACAAACATCACCCTCCAGTCAGCCTCACGGGGCATCATCCACTTCCCTAGTGCCAAACACCTCCATCCACAAACCCCCACCAGCATCTACCCATCCATAGCCCCATCTGCAAGCCTTGTTCTGCTTTGTTGCCAGCCAGAAATCACTCCCCCATCTTGCTTTCCCATATTAGTCTTTGTCTTAGGGCCATCCTTGCTTTGCCTGTCTTAGCTGCAGGGGTAAAACCAAGGTTTTTGGGGGCTGGTTCTGCTCATCCTTGCCCTGGCCACGATGGAGAAGTCAAAGCAGGTACCTCCTGTGCGTGTTGCGGTTGCTGTTGACGTGACCCTGTCCTGTGCAGCCGGGCGTGGGGCATTTCAACACGTTCTCGTGCATCGCCAAGACTTCGGAGCCAGAAGGGGAAGGGGAGAGGGGGAGGGAAGCAAAAACAACTTGATAAAAATCAGAGGAAAAAAAAAAAAAAAAAAAAACAAACAAACCAAGCCAGAACAAAAATTACACTCAAGATCAGTCCATGTAAAAAAAAAAAAAAGAAAAGACAAAAATCAAGCCTTGTACGTTGGTTTCCTAGAAATCAGGGAATGTGAAATCCTGTAATTAGAATTCGTCTGCGGAGAGAAAAAAAGGCTTTACAAGGCAGCAGCGCTCAGGTCAGGGCTAGATGAGCATCTCTGCACTCAGCTTGGGCTTTCTCCTCCTTTCCTGATTGCAATCCAGCTTCCCCCCCTCCCTTCCCATTTTTGGAGCCAGGTCTCCCCATTTCAGGTAGTTTTAAGGGATTGAATTTGTATCTCTGTTTTTATCCTTTGGGTTAGTCTTTGTTTGAGTTCTTTTTTTTTTTTTTTAATTTTAATCTTCAGGATTATTGCTTCCTGCAGCGCTGACCTTAAAAGTAAAGAAAATCATTTGAATTGCAAGCTTTTCTAAAGCACCCAGCTTGTGTTAAGTTATTTATTAATATTTTTTCTTGCTTTCGTGAGGATAACTGTACTTCTGCCTTGTTCCTGCAGCTCTGTGTTTATGGCAGGTCTGCAACCTTTGAAATGACTGATAAGGAAAGACTCCATTTTTTGGGGGGAGTCTATTATGCCATTATCATAAACATACAACATTGATTTTTATGTGTATGTACAGGGAAAGCTATTTAGGAAGGTGGTAGAGAGGTAGAAATAAAATCTCTATGCACATCTATAAAAATCTGTTATGATGAGGATAAATATTTTCTGTGAAATAGATGAATCTTGGTAGAGCACTTTGGGAACGTTACAGTGATGAGGGTGTAGAAGGAGCCTCAGCTACCCTGCACATCCTGAGCGACTCCTCTTTGCCTCATGGCAGCACCTTTGGCCAGCAAGGAAGAGTTTCCTCTTCTTCCCAAGGTGATATCCCAAACAGGGAAAAATATGTGACCTTCAGCGTGAAGCTGGGAACTGCTTCACACACCTCTGGAGCTGGGCAGCCAGGCATTTTTAAAGCACCTCTTTGATTTTCAGAGAAGGGACCTCATTCTCCACAGGATGGTGCTAAAAATCTTTAAGAAGGGTCCGACTTCCATCACGGTGAGGCTTTGGTGGGTAGAAACATCCCAAAACACCTTGAAGAAGCACCACCCCATCCCAGAAACTCTGTTACAACCAGAGGATTAACATCAGCCTCATGCTGAGGACTCAGTCATCAAATTAAGATCATTTAGGACTATTTGGAGTGCCTATCGGCCTCGAGACAGCTCAACCCATCAGGTGTGAAACTCCTCCTAGGAAATAAGGCTTCAGACTGATTTAGGCAACCCGGGTTCCCCCAGCATGTACTCACTCTCGGGAGGGATCCTGTCTTTGTGTGGACAACCCGAGAGGCTGCGGTGGTGGGGGTAGAGTCCCGTGACGTGGCCGGTCCCGTCGCAGCCAGGGGTGGGACATTTGATTTCTCTCTTCTCAGGTCTCGAGGGATCTGGGGATGGTGGGGAAGCAGGTTAGTGGGTTTGGTAGAGAAGAGGTGGAAAAGAGAAAAACCACCAAGGATGCTTCCCACCACTTTTCAAGTCAAACAAGGAGAAACCTTTGGGTATGGAAGGCTATTTTTTTTTTTTACCCCTGAAGGTGGAATTGTAATGCTGGAAGTTTCAAAAATCAAAATCAGCAAAGCAATCTGAGTAGATAACCTGGCTAAGGAGCACGGGGCCACTCACAGTGAGCAGAGAGCCCAACTCAGCACCCAAGGGATGCTGCAGCCCCTGCCACGTCCCTCGCGTTGCCATGGCTGAGCTCCCACTGCTACTTTAAAACCCACTTGGGTTTTTACTGCTCAGATGAAGATTTGCAAGTCCAACATGCAGCTTAGCCAGGCAGTTCCCCTGCTGAGATGTAGAGGACAACATCACTTCATGCATTCCTCTAGGATGTCCCCATCCCCCTGGGCATCGAGGGTTTGTAGCTGTGGGCTGTGAAACCCCCACCCCAGCAGGATCATTTCCATGGGGTGCTGAGCAGCCAAGTTCAGCACTTTCCCTGGGGGTGGGAAGGAAGGAGACGCACAACGGTTCATCCCCTTACCTTTGCCGTAGTAGCTCTTCCGGATGCTGTCCAGAGGTTTGTTCTGTTTCTCGTCCACCTGGAAGTGCTTGACGTGCTCTCCTGGCAGGCGGCTGGGCTCCCGCACGATCTTCACCTGCTCAGCCTTGAGGGCGATGGCTTGTTCCAGCAGCCCCAGGTTGCCCCTCGTCATCATGTCGTACATCTCGGACTCGTCGGTCACCGCCGATTTTTGGGAGCGGGCGTCGTCGTCCTTGTCGTCGTCCGACCTCACCTCCACGATGACCGAGTACTCAGGCTTTGGGCTGAACTGCCCTTCACAGTGGCTTTTCTGGGTGTCCTGAGAAGTGTGAGGAGCTTCTTCGCAGATCACTTCAGGAGCCATCTCCTCCTCCTCTTCATCCTCCTCCTCCTCTTCCTCTTCCTCCTCCTCATCCTCCTCCTCCTCTTCTTCCTCCTCTTCTTCATCCTCCTCCTCATCGTCCTCCTCCTCTTCTGCTTCAGCCTTTTGCAGTTTGCAGGACTCCTTACAGCTCACCTCGTCCCGGTGCTCCGGGCACGGCTCGCTGCTTCGTTCACTGGTGACCTCGATGACCTCCTCCGCGTCCTCCGTCTGGATGATGATCTCCTTGTCACACTCCTCCTCCACTAACTCCTCTCCCACGTCCTCGTGGACCAAGTGCACGACGTTGGATGGAGGTTTGGAGACCTGCAGCTCAGCTTCAGGCAGCTGCCCTTCGATGGCGAGGGTCTCCTCCGCTATTTGGCCTAGGTTGAGGAGAGAGTTGGCGATTATTTCTTGGTAGCTGCTATAGTTGGCCTTGCTGGGCCCAGACGTACTTGTTGCTGGGTTTTGTCCATAATGGGTTGGTTTTGCTGGGCTTCTCTCTGAGGCAGGGAGGAAGAAGGGGAAAGAAAGAGAAGTGGGGGAAAAGGAGGAAAGAGGAAAAGGAAAAAAGAGGGAAAGGGGGAGAAGGAAAAGAAAGGAAGGGAGGGAAAGGAAAACAAAAAGAAGAGAGAAAGGAAAAAGGAAGGGGAGGAAAGGAAAATGAAAGGAAGGGAGAAAGAAAAAAGAAAGGAAGGGGAGGAAAGGAAAAGGAAAGGAAGGAGGGAAGGAAAAGGAAAGGAAGGAGGGATGAAAAAAGAAAGGAGGGGAAAGAAAAAAGAAAGGATGGTAGAGAAAAAAGAAAGGAGGGGGAAGGAAGAAAAAAGGGCGGAAGGAAGAAGAAGGGGGAGGAAGAAAAGAAGGAAGGGGGGAAGAAGGGAAGAAAGGGGGGGAAGAAGGGAAGAAAGGGGGGGAAGAAAAGAAGAAGGGAGAAAGAAAAAGGAAGGGGGGAAAGGAAACATAAAGGAGGGGGTGAAGAAGGAAAAAGGAGGAAAAGGAGAAAAATGAAAACGGAGGAAAAGGAAAAAAATGAAAAAAAATGAAAAAAGAGGAAAGCAAAACAGAAAAAAAGGAGGAAAAGAAAGTAATTATATAAGCTCGTAAACACCTCTCTGTCTTACTTAAGCTTAATTGAAACGAGAGCCTGGCTGTCAAAGCCCTCGAGCAGCCCCGTTGATTGTGTTTGGGAAGGGCAGGTAGGAAGGGGCTTGTCACGGGGAAGCTTTCCTGGGGCTCAGATGCGTGCAGCTTCCCAGCCTCCCACTGTCAGCAGCCATCTGGCCCCTTGCTCCTGGTGCTCTAAAGCGAGGAGCTGCCCGGTGCCAGGACCTTGGCTGGGCACCTTGTTGTCCTTGCTGCTCCTCCTCCCGGATCCAACCGGAGCGATGCTCCGCAACCAGGGCTGCCAGTTGAGCCCCTGGAGGCACCGAGGTGAGACCCTGACTGCCCTTCCTGCTGCCATCTGAGCCCTGCTGCGAGCTCCTCTGGGCTCTCCGTGGGTCCTTCCCCAGGGAGGAAGGAAAAACTCTCATTTTTTAAGCCACCAGAGACAATCTGTGCGTCTCCTCTCTCCGTGCAACCGGAGCTTCGCCGCCACGCAACAGAATAATTGAAGGACCCGTCCTGTACATAATTCAGAGGAGCTATAACTCCTAGTTATTAACACTCCCTGCCCTTTCTTCATCTGTGGAACACGGCTTCTTAATCAATAATGAGAAAGCACCTTCTGCTGGCTCAGGGCTGGGGGTCTCCTCCTGCTCCACCGCCTCGTCCTCCTCCAGCGTCCCCTCGGACTCGTCGGAGCCAGACTCCTCCTTGGCCTCGGCCTCCTCGCTGCCATCACTGTCCACGTTGTAGCCTTCGTCCAGGGCCAGCTTGAGAGGATGGGATTTTCTCTTTGAAACCAGATGCTCGGCCTCCGCATCCTGAAGTTTCCTCTTCTTGGCTAGAGGACAGCTTTGTAAACTGCAGACGGGATCAAGGAGCAGAGAGGAGGCGTTGCCGAGTGAGAAAGGCACAGCCACGGCCTCTGAGCCACGTTAGGCAGAGGCAAGTGGGACAAAAACACATATACTAGAAAGAATAATCATCCAGCAGCCCAGAATTTTAGGTGGTTTATCCCTTCGTAGCCAGATCTGCTCTGAGATCTTGACTTGGTGCAACCATGGTGACTTTTCTCAGAAGCTGGGCTCACTCATAGACTCATGGGTCCATGGGCAGTTGTTGCCCAGGGAGCAGCAGGACCAGCAGCTCCCAGCACCACTGTTGGTGATGGCCACCAGTGCCACCAATGAAACAAGTCAGGGGACATAGAACTGGCCCTAGGGACACATCTGCTCTGATTTCACTGCTACAGGGTGATGAAAACCATCCCTTGAGGCTGGTGTGGCCTCAAAGGCAGCCAGCGTGCTCTCATTTCCCCTCCCCACCCATGGGAGCACCAGGCAGGTCAAAATGGGACCTGCTGACAGCTCCCATCAACCTCAGGCACCTGAACCAGGTACCTCTTCCATGGTCCAGCTTCTATGGGAAGGCTGCTGTCTGGTGAAGCAGATCCCCCAGGATCCCTCACGGGCTGATGGAGAAATTGAAGTAGGCTCCTTGGTAGGCAGATTTGGGGGGCAGGTGAGTTGGGTTGCCCTGAACCAAGTCCTGCAGTGAACTTTGGGGGTTTTGTTGGTGTTTTTCCATCCCCACTTCCTCTGACCCAGCCTCACCTTCTGTGTCTTGCATACTTCCCACGGATGTGTCCTGAGCCGTTACAGCCTGGGGTTGGACAGCTGAGGAGGGAGAGAAGCAGCTATCAAGAACAGCACCAGGACTCAGAGACTCCATTTTTAATTAAAGTATATAAACTGTGGCCAGTTAAACAGGTCTTGTGCAGAAGGAACGAAATAACCTCAGAAGGGGAGAGAATTTCCCTCCAAGGGTTCAGCTCGTCCCTTTGAATTCCAGGCGGGGAGGGCAGGAGAGCAGCCTTGCAGCCTGCTAAAAATTAATGAAATGACTCACCCCATTTAATTAGATGAACGGTTCATTATAGTTTTATGATTATGTTTAATTAAAGATTTGCATGTGTAAGAGCACGCTTTTAAAAAGCAGACAACTCCTGCTCTCTGCCTCCCCACTGCCACTCTTGGGTTTGCTTTTTTACTGCAGCAGGAGGAAAACATGGTGGGTTTTTTTTTAATTATTATTAATTTGATGGCTTATCAGGCAACTGGGGTTCCTTGAAGTAAGGAATGGGTGTCTTTGTAAAGAGCAGGCTAGGAGAGAATGAAGATTTTAGCCAGAGCACATGGGATGGAGATCACCAGGACAAAAGCCCTCAAAAAGCACCACAGAGCCTCACCTTTGAGGGCACAGATGGGATTTAGGTGACCAGATCTTCCAAATCCCTGCATTTGCTCCTGCTGCTCTGCAGAAGAGGAGGAGTTAAAGACTTCCAGGGAGCTCTGGAAGCTGCTGCTGCCTTCACCACGGGCTTGCAGCATCCCTGGGCTCGGGGCCACCGCCTCCCCTGAAGGGGTAATTAGTCCCAGCTCCAGGAGCTATAAGGGCTCCAGATAAGAAGCATTAAAGCAAACATTTTCTGGCAAAACCAGATTAAGGCATTGATTATAGGATGCCCAAGTGACTTGCCTGACATCTGAGGAATTCCGGAGTGTGTAGGATTAATAACCTCATTTAGCACCCTATCACCCTGAGCTGGGGAAGTTGGGAGCACTAATGAAATCTCCTGATGACAGCACAAAGGGAGGAGGCATCTCCAGCCCAGGGGGGACCTGGCCAGCCTCTTATTCTTGGAGTAAAAGACACAGGACAATGTTAAACAGGACCTAGTGCCAAGCCAGGCTTTAGGGACTCCAAATTTCTGTTCTCAGCAGAGAGCTCAAGGAAGATCTGAGTGTGTTGATGGATGCAGCTGCTCTGGGAGCACCGGTGGGTTGTTAATGGCTCAGCCCCCCAGAACACCGTGCACAGGGTCAAAGAATATCATTCAACCCAAAACTGGGAGAGGAAAGGGCTGCTGCACGGGCAGGAGAGGAGGAATCCTTCCTTCAGGGCCACCAGCTTAGCAAAGCCAACGTCAAGAGGGGAAATGATGGCAACACATCCCCTAAGGGGACAAAGCTTTCTAGATGAGACATGGGTGGAAGCTGCACCTCCTGACCCTTCCAAGATGAAGTCCCCCCCTCCTGCTGTGCCCTGGTTTCAACCTGAGATGCTGAGGATCCTCCAACACCATGGCTTGGGGGATGGCTCCCAGCTTTTCAGGGAGGGTCTCACCTACCAGGGGGTCGTTTGCTTCCCAAGAAAAATACTCGAGGTCATTGATAAAAAGCTCTTGTCCCACTAACGTGTGTAATCAGAAGAGGGAGCTCCCTGCTTCGCTGCTCCCTCTGCTGATGATCTGAAAGCCTATTTATTTTTAATTGCCTCCAGTCATGACTGAGGCTGCTCTGTCCCCAGCAGCCCCAGAGACACTTGAAGTGGCTGCCCAGCAAAAGACAGAGCGGTGTTTCTCTTACCAGTGACTTGCCTGAAAAGGGCTTTATTCGGGGGGGAACAAGAGCAGCTCTGATGAAGATGTTACAGGCTTTTGTAAACTCTCCTGAATCAGTTAAAGCTGATTCCCCCCTCCCCACCACCTCATTTTTGATGGGGTGAAATGAAGCCTGCAGCAAAAAGTCAGTCAGAAAGAGCCAAGTGGTTCAGCACAGAGGTTTTCTGAAGCAGGTGGTATTTTGGGATGTCTCTGGCTTTGGGTGTGTCAATTGAATCCCCATAAAAAGCACCAGCTCAGAGGTGATGCTCGGTGTGCTCTGGGCCAGGCTTCTCCATCCCCACTCTCCTCCCGGGGAGTTTCCTGGATTTTGGCAGGAGTCCCGAAAGGGGAAAGTGTCTTCGAGGTCTATTAGAGCCACTCTCCTTCCCCTCAAGAGCCACCACCAGCGACCTGCTCTCCCCCTTCTCCTCAGGCTTCATATGCTTGACAAAAGAGCCTCTTATTGTTATGCAGACGATGCCCTGCTTCCAATTAGTCGATTAATCGTCCAGTTATTCAGGCAATTAGGTGACAGCTGCAGAGATGGCTTTGTGGAGCACTCGGTCCTGCCCCTTCTATATGTCACCTGCTCCAATTACCACCTCCGCTCAAGTGTTCAGCCATAAAAGTTGGAGAAGGGGCCAGCCCGCTGAGTGGAGGAGCAGAAAATCTCTGAAATTGGGTTGGTTAAGGTCCAATTACTCTTTGACACTCGCAGGGCTTTCCACCGGAGGCTGGTAGAAAAGGCAGCCCCTGCTATTAGTGCCTTGTCCAGGTTAAAGACTCCTACCTCTTGCATAAGCCCTTGTGGAAGGTTTAAAGGGAGCTTAGAGGTGGGGGAGGCTGTTATTTATAATGAGAAGCTCTGTAGGGCTGCAGAAGCTCACTCCAGCTCTTTTGGCTGCTGCTGTTCACATGCCAGCGCTGCTAAATGAGTGACAAGAGGACCTTGGAGACCCAGCAGAGGACACGGGGTCAAAGGTGGAGCATCTGGCAGGAGAAGTGATGTGACACGACATGGTTCAGGGGCAACAAGAGGATGTAAAATAGATGGGAAGGAAACTCTGGCTTAGTAGGATGCTGTCCCTAATGATCCTGCGACACAAAAGGTGGGCACTGGGTGGGACAGAGGATGGCTGGAGGGTCTTTGGTCTAATATGACCCATCCAGAGCTTGTGATTTCATCCCTTTAACTCCTACAACTCCTCTACTGTGTGCTGTCCAGTGGTGCTGCGAGGACTTGGGCACAGCGAGGTGCCCACCAATATTAACCCCCAAGCAAGACCTCCACCCTATTAAATCCCCTGGGTTTGCTCCCCTCACCCAGCTTCCCAGGCCTGCAAGGAGCTGTGGAGCTTCACCCAAGCCAGTCCCAGCACGGGGCTTCCCCTCCCTCCCACCGCCAAGGAGGAGCAGGGTCCTTACCTCACCTCCTGGCCGATGAGCTCCGTGGGCACTGGCAGAGGGGCAGGACGCAGCAATGGAAACAAAGACAGGGTCAAAAACACAACAGGGATGCCCAGGCCCCTCCCTACCCCCAAGACATCCTCCCTTCCCTGGGGGATCCTCTCCTGCCTGCAGCAGGGTTTCCATCACCTCCTCGGGCACCCCGTTTGGGAAAGAAAGGGTGAATCCACCCTTCATTTACTGCTTGCCAGGGTGCAGTAAATCACAGCCCTGCCTTGAAAAGCCTCGTGCCTGGGCTTAATTTCAAGCACGTCAGTTTGCAGCATCAGGGGCTACCTCTCTCTGAGTACGTGACAACTTTACAGTCAGTGGAGCTATTCTGATATACGTCCATATAAATCAAACACTTTCAAGTGAAGACCAGGTTTTCTCAAGCCTCCTTCTCTATGTTTGCAATGAAAATCTGCTCCTTGGTTACTTTTTTTTGGCTGCTGGTTTGCTTCAATGGCCACATTTACCACTGTAACATCTACAGGCATTATTTTTCTCCTCCTCTTGTCACACCAGACTGATGTGGGAACCCCTGTCCATGCTCAGACACAGAGCAGAGGATGTGCCACTTGGCACAATAGCCACTTGGCTATTGGGCAAACAATAGGTTGGAGTTTTCTTAGGGCTTAGTTCCCACTTGTGAATAAGAGGACATCCCACTGCCTACAACAACATAGAATCATAGAATGTCTGGGCTGGAAGGGACCTCCAAAGCTCTTCTAGTCCAACCCCCCACCATAAGCAGGGACATCTCCAACTAGATCAAGCTACTCAGAGCTTCATCCAGCCTGATCCTGAATGTCTCCAGGGGTGAGGCCTCCACCACCTGTCTGGGCAACCTATTCCAGGGATCTATCACCCTCAGATTGAAGAACTTTTTCCTGACATCTAACCTAAATCTCCCCTTTTCTAGCTTAAAGCCGTTACCCCTCGTGCTGTCACTACAAACCCTTGTGAACAGACTACAAACCCTTGTGAACAGAACATACATCACACCGCTGCTGAAACCTTACATCCAGCCAGGAATCCAAACAATCAGGAGGACTAAAACCCCACTGTACAAGTCTCAATTTGCCCAGGCTAAAAACCACAACACGTTTGCTCAATTTGTTTGAGCTAATTGGGTTTCCTGGGATCCAGCTCCCAGTGGGATAACTCACGAGCTTCAACAAACTGGAGGCAGTGGCAAGTCCCAGGGTGCATGCAATAAATTACCTTTTCACATCAAGAAACCCAGATTCATGTGTGGGGAAGGCAGGGTGTGAGAAAATAAATAGAATCGAGGCACTCTCATTAGTAACCCCAGCGAGCCCCTTTATGTATGTGCAGCAAAGCACTGAAAGCCAAACGTCCCACCTCGATTCTGGCAGCATCTGGGTTTGGTTTTGGTTTTAAAAAAGATGCAGACAGCAAGAAGAGTGGGGGTGAGGACAAAGGAAGGTGGTTCAGGGTTGCTGTGTGGGTGAAGCTGCTGTTGTTAAACTTTTTCAGCCAGCCCCGTTGGTTCCTCGCTTGCAGGCACCTTTGCAACCCAACGAATCCATGGCCACAAAAAGGGACTGAGCTGGAGAAGCTGGTCTGTGACCATCCCCACGTGGCTGTGGGAGCACCTGAGGTGACATCCCCTGCTCTGTATCAGAGCTCCTCACCTTCTCCTTGAGACAAAGCAAAGCCAGACCTGCACGGTTTTTCCAAGTCGGAAAATAAACCACCACCAAATTTTGCATTAACGAGGCATTTGTCCTCACATCCCTGCCAGGGGACTGCCCCTCCAGCTCCTCCAGCACGCACTGCTCCTGCCAGGCTCTCTCAGATGTGCAGCTTCAAAGCCCCTGGCAGAATGTGCATGATGAAAGCCCCGGGAGCTGATCTGAAGCTCCAGCAATTGTGAGTCCCCTAAAGCAAAGCATGCAAAGGGCCTTTTTGGGTTGGTTTTTTGTGTGTTTGGTTTTTTTTTTGTTTTTTTTTAAAATTAATTTCTTCTCCTGAGTGTAGGGGATGAGGGTTAAACACTATGAGGACCTGTAAAGGTTTGTAGCTGGGAGTTTCCCAGGTTTAGAGGCAAATTTCGTTGGGGTTAGACTAGATGCTCTCCAGGGGTTCCCTCCCAACCCCTCCCATTCTGTGATTCACTGCAGGGCAGCTTAAAGAGTTAAACCAGGACCTGAAAAAAAATCAAAGCCTATTTAGAACAAGCAAAGCAGAGGGAGCTGAGGTCTCTACAGCCCCACGCTGCGGGGGGACCGGCGGCTCACCTCTGATAGACTTCGATCGCGTGCGTGCTCTCTTGTCATCATTCTCTAAACTCATCTGGAATGGAAAGAAAAGATAATTGTTGACAGATAACAAGAAAAAATGTTGTTGAAGGCCAGTCTCATGTGTGGTGGTTGCTCAGAGTAAATACCTGGGTGGCAGGGAAAGCTTTCCCACGGTGTTCAAACAGAGGCGTCCTGCTTTGATTTTATTCTTCAACCCACAGGGCCCGAATTTAGCAGCCTTAAATTCATTTTTTAGCAACCTTAAATTCATTTCCACACCCTGGGACACAACGAGGACTCTCTGCTGGTTGGATAAACACCCAGATGTGATGGCCCACGACAGAAAAAGGCTGCACCTGAGATATGCTTAAGAGCAGAATGGATTTCTCTGGATTTACACCACGGAAGCACCGTGAGCACTGAGGTGAGTAGCCAGCACATCACCAGAAATCTCTGAATATGCAACAGAGCTGATGTCATGTTTGGGAAGGACTTTTCAGGCAGGGCCCTAAAGAGCAACATCTCCCCTTTGCTTAAATTTGACACAAAAAGGGTTGCATCTAAATAACCCCTGCAACGTGGACATCAAACAGGAGGGGCTGTGGGGAATACGGGCATGAATAAGTAACATGAGGGACTTCAAAGTGCTTGATATCAATTAAACATCACAACATGCTACAAGGTAGCAGAAGGCTGAAGTGCAGCCACCTCTGGGTGCAGCAAGAGCTCCGTGCCCCAGCATCAGGGGGAGCTTTGGAATCAGGCTGTGCCTGGAGGTGGGACCAGCAGAACCAGGGGACATCCATGGCAGGGCAGAAAGGTACGGCCAGAATAACAGAAATGGAATTCCATGAAAGTTGTCAAGGAAGTTGCTGAAGTGGTCAACAAGCTGGTTTGGCATCTAGCCCTTGGCACAGATGGTCTCTCTGCAGGCAGGGGCATTTGGCAGCAAATGCCAAGGATCAGGGGGTGAGCAGGGAGGTGGAGCGTAGCCTGGTTAGTTGGGGACAGGCTGATTGGGGGTTTGTTGCAGTGGTACTACCTGGGACATTTCCTCATGGCATAATGAGGAGAGAAAAAAGGAGGGGAAAGGACCAGCTCATTGAATCATAGAAGCACAGAATTAAGTTGGAAAAGATCTTTAAGATCAAGTCCAATCATTCCTCCAGCACTGCCAGGTCCCCACTGCCCCGTGTCCCTCACCCCACATCTCCACGGCTTGGAAGCCCCTCCAGGGGTGGGGACTCCACCACTGCCCTGGGCAGCCTGGCACAGCCCTGGGCAACCCTCCAGGGCAAGAAATTGTTCCTCAGGGACAACCTCAACCTCCCCTGGGGCAACTTGAGGCTGTTTCCTCTTGTTCTATCACTTGTTCCTTGGGAGAAGAGACCAACCCCCACCTGGCTACAATTTCCAAGTAGAATTTGACATAATAAAACCAAACTCTGTTTGGAGCATACCCTATAAGTCTCAGTTGGAGAGGAACAGAACCAACTACTGGGCCATCCCAAAATGAGGAGGCTCCACAGCTGATGCTCTGGCACCCCCAAAAGAAGGTGGGGTGGGGGTGGACACAAGAGGCAACTCCCACTGGTCAAGGAGCAGGAAGAGAGCTACTGGGCCATCCCAAAATGAGCAGGCTCCACAGCTGATGCTCTGGCACTTCCAAAAGAAGGTGGGGTGAGGGTGGACACAAGAGGCAGCTCCCACTGGTCAAGGAGCAGGAAGAGACACACATGCAGAGCTTCACGGGCAGTGGGGACAATGCACACGTGGTATGTGCCACCACATCCCCACGTGCACCTTGAAACTCCCTCCTGGTGGCTGCTGCTCACAGTCCCCAGCAGGAGGGACTGGGGGTCCTCACCCATCACCCCTGAAGGATGTACTGCTTGGCTTGGGCCTCTCTTCTCATCCTCCTCCCGAGGTTTTGGGGTGGTGAGGAGGGAGGGAGGCTGTTGGTCAAGCAGGAGGAGGGGGCGGAGGTGCCCAGCAGCTGAAAGCACCTCAAAGGGGATGAACGAAATTTCCCCCAGCACCACCCTCCAGAAACGCAGCATTAACACACCATGATTTATGTGGTTTGTTAGATGGGGAGATTGGAGAGAGGGAAAAATAAATAAAAAGAAAAGAGCAAAAAACAAAACAAAACAAAACCTGGAGCAATTTATGCAGCCTGTCAGCATTCGGCTCGTGGCACCGCGGTGTTGTGCTCCACGTTTATTACAATCTTCCCAATAACACAGCAGACAATTACTATAATTTCTATTTTTAAAGCCTCGGGTCCCTGTGGACCAATGGCTCACGTTTAAAGTGTGGAGAGGAGCAGGTGTCAAAGGGACTTCATTACATTTATGAGCCTTTCACCGTCGGCGTGCGCTGGGCGAGGGAGCTAATGCCACTAATCCCTGGGATTGCTGGGAGCCTGCCTCCAACCAAAATGAATTTCAGAAAGGGCTTTTTTTCTCTCTTTTCTTTTTTCTTTTTTTTTTTTTGTTGACAGTTTTTCCCAGGGAATTGGCACGTGTTGGGCTGGTGCCTTGGCAATATGGGTTTCCTGCAGATCAATGAGTCCGCGTGGCAGAGGAGGGCAGGCTGTGGGAAGGGTAATGGGCACTGCCTGCTCTGGCCCAAAAAGAGGAAGGGCTGGGACTCTGTAGGGACAATGAGGGGAAAACAGCACAACTTGACTTATTTTAAGCCTGCCCTTCAAGGACAGGCAGGTGGGAAGGGTTCAAGCTGCTTGTCTATAACTGGAGAAGATCCCGTTTCATGTCCCATTTGTCTTCAGAAAATTAGGTATCACATCTGAGGGAACATCCAGGCTCCTCAGTCCACCATAGCACCTTCTAAAGAGATTCCTCCCATTGCTTTCATATCTCTTTCAAGCCAGGATCATGGGCAAAAGGAACAGGAGCCACCTAAGGCAAGGACAGACACAGCCTTGCTAAGGACCAAGGGATGGAAAAGCCAAATAGGCTGTTTTGCCTGGCCAGCTGTACAAGGCAGCCTTTAAAACCAACCAATCAAAAACCAATCAACCCCTAAACTAAATTATCAGGTTTTTTTCCTCATAGGGAAGACCCTATTAATTGGTTAAAGAACTCGACGTGGCCCCACCTCTCAGTATTTAAAATGTTTCATTTACAACACTGGAAGGATGGAATGCGCTCTGGTACATCCAAACTCTGCTTTCTACCACACCAGGCTCCTTTTCTCCACTTAAATCAACAGCAGCAGCCTCAAAAAACAACCTTCATTTCCCACCAAAGTGCAGAAACACCAAGAAAAAAAAAATAAAAGATCCATTTCCAGGCTCAGCCCCTGCCCCTCCCAAGCAACTTAAACTAACTGACGTGGCCATCGCTGCACTTCTGGAGCCTCAGTGGTTGTCGGGCTGGGATGCATGAAGGTTACAGGAAGCCACTCTCCTTTATTGTTCTCCTCCTCCTCGTTGAGAAGCCCTCCAGACAGATCATTTTAAGGTGGAATTTCGGGTCACACAGTGCATGTTTGCAGTGTTGGAGACTAACAGGGTATTTTCATTTGTTCTCCCTCTTGCTCGCATAATAGCCAGGCTGAGAAGCCAGCCAGGATTCACTCTTGTTATTTTAACTCTGAATGGAAAACAAAGCAATCTGAAAGGAAAACTGCAAAGAAATTATTGCTCACAAATGCCAGCCTCAGAGCATGTTAGTCCAGCTAGAAAAGAGGTTTCTTCCTCTCCTCCTCACCTATCACTGGATTATCGCTCACATTAAACCAAAGTCAGCATCTAGCTGGTTCCCTAACCCACCACCACAGGGTCATGCGGTGGAAAGGACCCTCTGTTGGGTCTCAGGATTCAGCTCCATGCTCTGCCACTGTCAGGGCAACCTTGAGAACATCCCTTCATCTCTAGCTGCCCTTTTTTCCTATTATCTCCCTCAAGGTGCTTTGATGCAGGGGCTGTTTCTTCCTATGGATTTGCCCCATGCTAAGGAGCCTTCTGATACAAGCACAATCCAAACTATACTGGTAATACCCCGATGCTACAAATCCAAATCAATGAGGCTCAGACAAACTCAGGAGACAGTTTAACCTGAGCACAGTGGGAATTTTAACAGCCTGCTTCTCCAGTCACAGACTTGCTCTGCTGCCAAGGCTACAGCAACACAGCACAGAAGTTTAATTTGATGGAGTACCTACAAGGTTGATGTTTTCTTCTTCTTTCTTATCTTAATACACACTTCTTTTCTGATGGAAGGTGGTAACATAAAACCACTAGAGCCTCCCATGCACTGATGCCCAAGGTGTGGCCCAGCTTCGACAGCTCTATGCAAATACACCATTAAGGGCCATGCCGAAATTCCCCGCGGTCAGCAG